CACACACACACACACACACACACACACACACACACACACACACACACACACAATCATTTTTATGTTTGTAGGTCTTTCTTATGTTGTCTCTCCTCCCCCTGACTTTTTCTAAGTACGTTTTGTGTGCCCAACTGAGCACCCTTAAGTAGTGCCAAATAGTCGGTGGTTCCTCATTTGGAGTGCCTACTGCACCCTTATGGGGGACGCTCGGTTCGGGTTGTTTGTGTTGCCTGTAGGTGATGACGGATGGTCGTCGGAGTGTCCCCCTGGCTCAGCGGGTGGTGGGAACCAACAGCCTGCGGGGTTCTATCGTGATGTGAGTAGGTCATGTGCTGTTTTGCTCCGTGTTGGATGTGTAAACTGTCTTGTCTGCACTCTGCCGCAGTCTTGCTGCCCGAGCCGCTTGCTTTGCGGGTCGTCCTCGCTGCTCTTCTGCCTTGCCGCCTACCCGCGGGTCGTGCCTCCCATGTCTTTTGTTCGCGTGCCTTGTGGTTCGGTAGCCTTATGGCGGTGCCTCGCGCTTCGCTGCACGGTTGCTGAGCTGCTTATCCGTGTGCTCTGTCGGCCTTCAGTGTCCTTTGCGTGCATGCGTTGTAGTTTGGTTGTCTTGTTGGTGGTGCCTTGTGCTTCACTGCACGGTTGCGGAGTTGCTCGTCTGCTTGCCCTGTTGGCCTTCCGCGTCCTTTACTTGCTTGCGTGCTTTGTAGTGTGGTCGCCTTGCCGATGTTGCCTTGCGCTTCACCGCACGGTTGCCGAGCTGCTCGTCCGCTTGCCCTGTCGTTCCTTGCAGTCGTCTTTGGTGATAAGCGGTTGGGCTGCCTCTACTGTGTTGCCTGATGCTCCACAGGGTTGCTGCCCGCTGCTATGTCCCGCTTGGGGACAGTCTGCCTTCAACATGGGTCAAAGGGTTCATGACCCAAACCATCAAATACGGGGATTCCGCAGATTGTCGAGGGTTCAGCCTCCTGATGAGTCGGTGCAACTCCGACGAAACAATCTATCATCAGCTGTAATTTTTTTTCGGTTGTTGTTTTCTGTCTTGTTGTTGTTTGACTTGCTATCGTTTCCCTGCTGCCGTACGCTATTTGCCTGCCCATCTGCCTACCCTATCCCTTTTACCAGGTGTGCGTTGTTGCCTTGAGTTGTTTGTCAGCCCATGCCATGTTTGTCAGCCCATGCCATCCAGCCGAGTATGTGCCTTGCTACCTTGCACTGTTTGTCTGTCCATCCACCTTCCCCATACCTTCGAGCCTATGTCTTTTGCTGCACTGTATTTCGTGCCTCAATGTTTTGTGCTGTTTGTTTGCCCACCCACCTCCCCCGTGCCCTCCAGCCTATGTCCTTTATTGTGTGTACTGTCCAACTGTTAACTTTCGGTCCGCTATGGGGTTATGTGAGAATTGATTCGAGTTGTTTAGTGAATGGGGGACTCCTTGGGGGTCGCCAGGCGGAGTACACTCGTTGTGTACTGGAGCTATCTCGAAGTGTGTTTACACACACAGCATCACACACACAAACACACAAATATAAAACCAAACAGACATTCAAGTCTGCTAGCGTATAGCTCCATGTTCTAGTGGTAGATTCGTTAGATTTTGCTCATCCTAACTATGGAAGTACCATG